ATGTGTATTATAATATACATAATGTTCCGACTATGCAGTTAAAATTATGAATACCGTTTATTATTACATAATAGTACTTAACAGCTTGGCCTCTAGAAGGAATATGGAATATTGCATGCAAAACACTGCACTTGTATACATTAACGGTTATCTGCCAGGTTTCTGCCCAGTATTTAATTTCATCTAAATCTTTTTGTATTTCTTTCTCTGCTAATGTTACAGCAAGCTGTCAAAAGGTATATCAGGTGTTAGGCGAGCAATCCAAATTGCTAGGCAAAGATATGGTCGATAAGCAGGCAAAAAGGCCAAAAGGCCAAGGGTTAAGATTAGAAAGTCAAAGAGAACAACAGGCGAGGTAGGAGCTCCAATACCGAGCGCTGAGTGATACTGAATGAGGGTTTATAAGGAGACTGGGGTGAGTTCAGTGAGTTCAGCTGAGACTTTTTAACATGTGCGGCGGTGCTTTGTGGAAATAGCCGGTACTGGGGACAGGTTAGAGCGTTTTCTGATAAGAGCTAGTCCTCCTTATTTGGTATCATGTGCAAACTTGACTAATTTACTAACTATACCAGAAATTAAGAGCAGTCCCCTATTTGTTATTATTATGTGATATTAAGTGGTTTATGAATATGGTCCGGGGATTTCTAACTATTTACAAAGGAATCTTTTTTATTGATGATGCATAAGTTTTTCGAAGCTGTATTATACCTGTTGATTGGCATGTTCTTTATAAGAGAGAAGATAGTAATCCTCGATCCATGGATTAACAGCTGCATGTGATGCAGGTGTAGCCTGCAGCTGGTGAGCTTCCAGGTCCTTCCATCTCTCTGCTTCATCCAGTTCTTGTCTGGTCCTATTTTCTTGAAGGTCACTGAATGACAGTCTTTGAGGTTCGACTGCTGAGTGATCTTATAGCACAGGCATTGTATATCCAGTGATCTTCCAACTTTAGAGCTGGCTTTAACCTTCATCCACACCACATATCTACATATTGAAGATGGTCATGTATCAAGAAGAGCACCAGTGCCTGTTAGATGTTGATCTTTGCTGAGAGCCTAGCCTTTCTTTTGTTCTGAAATCAGTGAAATAGCCTTGACGAAGCACTATGTGACATTGTCGTTGAAATTGATTGAAAATATATATATTTTGTAAGACCAAACTGACAAGCCACATGCAAGCTGGTCAGTGATGAGATGAATGAATTCCAGGGAGAAACGTGCAATCACCAAGTAAACAGTATACAGTATCTCTGATCAGATCTCTGATAGTTATTATCCTGTCAGACACCTGAGCAGCCAAGTTCCTGGAGGATTTTCCATATGCTGTCATGGTTTACAGCATCAAAGTCAGTGGTTAGGTTAACCAAAACCACATAGATCCTGGTTTTTGCTCATGACACATTTTCTGAATCAGTCCTACCACAGTTTTCATTTCCGTGGTTCACTTGATCGGATCTGAAACCTCCACTGTGTTTCTGGAAAGACGGTTTCTTCTAGCTGCTTAATCTTTCATGATTTCTCAGGCCAGAGTCTCGCCGGGGATCAAGAGCAGAGATATCCTTTGGCTACGGGTTGCACTGTCACTCTTTGTTTTGTGCAGGGTACCAATTCATTCACCATTTTATTCCTGGGCCAGCAAGCTGCATTGTCATGTGCTGAAATATGTGAGTGAGTGGTTTGAAGATCTGTCTCTGCCTGTTTACACTACTATCTGCTTTAGCATTCTTGAAGAAACCCACCTGATGTCATGCAGTGCAAGGCACAAGGCTAGCTCAGCGAAGACTGAGCACCAGGAAGTTGCACCACGTTATTCTTGTTGTTTATTACACCTAAATGTAATCACCTTGTTACTTATCGTCCATTTGTCACACAATCTCCAAATCTTCCCCAGCATTCAAACAAGCTAAAGTTGTTTCTTTGTGCAACTTTCTACTGGTACTTTCATGTTTCTATATTTGTAACTAATAAGGGATCCAATGCTATACAGTCTACAGCAGATCTGCTCTGTTCAGAAGATCTATTCATATGAAAGACACACCCTATTCTGAAACTCTGTTTTTGCAATAGTCTTGTTGCCAGAAACACTGTGAAAATTGAAGACCCACCCAGATAACATCCTCCTTGTAGTGTTGTGAGAATCAGAATGAACCAACAGTCCAGAAGACACACCCTACCGAGATACACAACTTTACTCACAGTGTTTGCGGAATGTATGTAGAAATCATTTCTCTGCAGTGTTTAAGGTGTGATCAAAAACACCTTTAAACAGCACGCAAAAGCAGCTAATGCTGACAGGATGTAGACTAATCCTAGTGCATCAACGTGTCTAATTAAAGGCAGATTGCGCACAGTGCTATGATTAACGAAATTGTATCTATCTTGTCCTCTGTGGCGCAACACCCATCCCCCCACAGCCACACGCTCCCTAACCCTTCACAGCTGCAACTGCCCAAC